CTTATATATACTTGTGACAAACTTTTTTTAATCGCTGCTTTAGTTTATCAAAAAAAAACTAAACAAGAATTTAACGTAATATTTTGAATTGTTTTTTCGGAATTTTGCTCTTAACTCCATTAATTAATTTATATAGAAACCATGTCGAGAGAATTATTGAATATTTGTCGCCTGAAGATGTCTGGAATTGTCAGAAAATTAAAAATATACAAACAGTCGACTTAGCTTAATATATTCCGACTATGTACAACGTATATAATGTTTGAAAAACAAAGCACAAGAACTGAACTAGAACTGAACTAGAACTGAACTAGAACTGAACTAGAACTGAACTAGAACTGAGCTAGAACTGAACTAGAACTGAACTAGAACTGAACTAGAACTGAACTAGAACTGAACTAGAACTGAACTAGAACTGAACTAGAACAGAACTAGAACTGAACTAGAACAGAACTAGAACTGAACTAGAACTAGAACTAGAACTGAACTAGAACTGAACTAGAACTGAACTAGAACTGAACTAGAACTGAACTGAACTAGAACTGAACTAGAACTAGAACTGAACTAGAACTGAACTAGAACTGAACTAGAACTGAACTAGAACTGAACTAGAACTGAACTAGAACTGAACTAGAACTGAACTAGAACTGAACTAGAACTGAACTAGAACTGAACTAGAACTGAACTAGAACTGAACTAGAATTGAACTAGAACTGAACTAGAACTGAACTAGAACTGAACTAGAACTGAACTAGAACTGAACTAGAACTGAACTAGAAATGAACTGAACTAGAACTGAACTAGAACTGAACTAGAACTGAACTAGAACTGAACTAGAACTGAACTAGAACTGAACTAGAACTGAACTAGAACTGAACTAGAACTGAACTAGAACTGAACTAGAACTGAACTAGAACTGAACTGAACTAAAATTGAACTAGAACTGAACTAAAACCCCTTCAAAAAACAACCTCAACTTTTTCTAATGATTTGGAATTTTAAATTGAATCTACAGAACGTCAATCAAAAACAAGTAAGAAATTATAGTCGGGCGAGGCCGACCATATAATACCCTACACCTTTGACAAAAATATAATGTGATTTAGTTGCCATAATAAAGCATTTAAGTTGAATTGTACCTTGCCTTAGATATACATACTTAAGCCGTTTATTGTTGAATAAAATTGTGGACATTTAAGTGAAATTTTGATGGGGGCTTTTCATAGGGGCTAGGGTCATAAAAGAACCTATTATTATGGAATTCGTGGGGGTCATCAAGTCTTGTATGCAACTTGGTTATTGCAGCTTTTTGTCGAGATATGAGTATATTAAACATAATTATGAACTTAAAAGCCCTATTCGGCGGGTTCAGTTGTATGGGGTCTAGGTGAAATAATGGACCGATGTAAACCATTTTCAACAGGCTTCATCTACGGTACCATAAAAGATCATGTGCCAAATTTCATTGAATTATCTCCAAAATTGCGACCTTTAGTTTGATTACTAGTTTTAAAAGCCCTATTCGGGGGTTCAGTTGTATGGGGGCTAGGTGAAATAATGGACCGATGGTAACCATTTTAAATAGGCTTCGTCTACGGTACCATAAAAGATCATGTGCCAAATTTAATTGAATTATCTCCAAAATTGCGACCTGTAGTTTGATTACAAGTTTTAAAAGCCCTATTCGGGGGTTCAGTTGTATGGGGGCTAGGTGAAATAATGGACCGATGTTAACCATTTTCAATAGGCTTCGTCTACGATACCATAAAAGATCATGTGCCAAATTTCATTGAATTATCTCCAAAATTGCGACCTGTAGTTTGATTACAAATTTTAAAAGCCCTATACGAGGGTTTCAGTTGTATGGGGGCTAGGTGAAATAATGGACCGATGTAAACCATTTTCGACAGGTCTCATCTATGGTACCATAAAAGATCATGCGCCAAATTTCATTGAATTATCTCCAAAATTGAGACCTTTAGTTTGATTACAAGTTTTAAAAGCCCTATTCGGGGGTTCAGTTGTATGGGGGCTAGGTGAAATAATGGACCGATGATAACCATTTTCAATAGGCTTCGTCTACGATACCATAAAAGATCATGTGCCAAATTTCATTGAACTATCTCCAAAATTGCGACCTGTAGTTTGATTACAAGGATTACAAGCCCTTTTGGGGGGTTCAGTTGTATGGGGGCTAGGTGAAATAATGGACCGATCTTAACCATTTTCAATAGGCTTCGTCTACGATACCATAAAAGATCATGTGCCAAATTTCATTGAACTATCTCCAAAATTGCGACCTGTAGTTTGATTACAAGGATTACAAGCCCTTTTGGGGGGTTCAGTTGTATGGGGGCTAGGTGAAATAATGGACCGATCTTAACCATTTTCAATAGGCTTCGTCCCTGGAACAATAGAAGATCACGTACCAAATTTCATTGAATTATCTTCAAAATTGCGACCTGTAGTTTGATTACAAGGTTTACATGGACGGACGGACAGACGGACGGACATAGCTAAATCGACTCAGAAAATGATTCTGAGCCGATTGGTATACTTTAAGGTGGGTATAGGACCAATATTATTGTGCGTTACAAACATCAGCACAAACCCAATATACCCTCCCCACTAAAGTGGTGTAGGGTATAACAAGTAAGTATGGGGGCTAGGGGCAAATATGGACCAAGCCCGATAAAGTTTTGTGAATATATTTATATAATATTTATTTGTGCTGAATTTCATCGCGATATTTGTGTTTATAAGTTAGTTTTGGATATTCAAGTTATTTTCTGAAGGGGACTTTGTATGGGAGCTAGGGTCAAATGAGGCCCGATCTTTATGAAATTTGGTAAGGTCATCAAGGCTTGTATAAAACTTAGTTGTGCCGCTTTTTATCGATATACAGGTATATTTAACATAATTATGAGCTCAGAAGCCCTTTTCGGGGGGTTCTGTTGTATGGGGGCTAGGTGAAATAATGGACCGATTTTATTAATTTTCAATAGGCTTCGTCCTTGGGTCAAAAAAGCGTGTGTGGCAATATTCATCCAATTGTCCTGAAAATTGCGCACAAGGTTTACATGGACAGCCAGCCAGCCGGCCAGACGGACTGTGGTACTTGGCCTCAAACTTAAAGAAAATTAAAGTTTTTATCAACAATGTCATTGCCGACAAAACGATAAATATCTACATATTTTAATTAAAATGTCAGCTTTAATAATATATTTGGTAAATTGCAATAAATTTAAATGGTAAAACGAGAAAATAATTAATTCTTATACTTTTCTAAAGAATAATTGGCATATTGAAAACAATTCGAAGCCTCAAGAAGAAGAAACGATGGCTTCAAGATCTTCTCATCAAGATGAAGAAGGAAGATAAAGTGAAAACCTGATATTTTCAAAATGTCTTTATTTGTTGTCTAGTGTCAATTATGGGAAAATCCTCATAAATTTTAGCTCAAAAGAAAATTTTAATCATATTCAACTTTTATGTGGCCCAATCATTAGGAAAATCAATAGTAGTATTTAGGCCCATATAAAACTAAGTTATACCGATTTAACATAGTTGAGAGCTACATAGCCCCATCCGGTGGTACGTTTTCATGATGCCTTCGTTCTCAAGTCAATAAAGTTTTTTATCTATAATTCAATATACACCTAATTACCACTTACCTTATCGTCTTCGACCTCTTAATAGGTCCGATGATAAGCAAATTACAAAACAACAAAATTCTTTAAAGTATTTTGGAAACGGTTTTTAACAAACCAAATTGATTCTTGAAATTATTTTGACTACAAAACAAAAGTTTGTAAACTAAAATGGAAATATTTAAATGACTAAATTAAAAGAAATCTGACAACTATAGATTAAAATAATTTACTGTTAATCTCTCATTTCGCCTTCCTCGTCCTCATCATCGACACCCTTAATATATAAAACGTTGTTGCAACGTATTAAAACTTCACCCAAGTTGCCTAAAGAAATAAAAGTAAATTCCATTTCGTTATTAAACAATTCCAAATTAATTTTCTTTCATATTAAGAACACTTACCAGTAGGTTGACCATCAATGTGTTCTTCAGCATTTGCCAATTGCATGTTCATATAGCCATCGACCGACACTAGATAACCTTTATATTCATGTCCCCACTTTAGTTTGATGAGCACTGCCTTACCGGTGAGACCATTAAGGAATGGTTTAGGATTAATTGGCATAGCAGCAGACATTTTGATTTAATTTATTTTATTGACTTTTTTTGTAAAGTAAAATAATTTTTGTTATATTTAAAGGCGGTAAACAACTGGCACGCTCACCACAAAACGTTTGCAAAACAAAGCCGACAACTGTCAAAGAAAAATTAAATGTCAAATTTATTTGTGATTTCACCAGAGTTGTATTGTTTTATTTAAGGTTGTAAAAATAAGTAGTAAGGAAATGACCGTTAAATTATAAACAAATTTTAAATTGGAAACAACAATTTTTTGCTTTTAATTGAATTTTTTATTTGAATTGTAAAGATAAAAAGATGACCTCCATTTTATTAACAGATTAGAATATGTTTGCATGCTTTGACAAAAAAAAAACAACAACAACATACCGCTTCATATGGTAAATGTTGCTCTTTTACTTAATTTGCTTACAAAAACTAAGCAGAACAAGAACAACATGTTAAGTATGAGACTCTGTGTTGTTATTGCAAAAATCAGAGATGGGAAATTAAAAAAAAAAATAAAAAATTATATTAAAAAATTTTTAAATTTTTAAATAAAATATTATGTTATAATAGTTATTTATCTTATATTAATAGTTATTTTTCTTATATTAAACTGCTCGAAAGTATGTCTGATAGAATTATACAAGTTTTGAATCGCAAAGAATCTTGTACCTTCTGTAAATAATTTTTTTCTAAGTGTTTATACTTTATTTTACAACTACTCACTCAAATTACAACTCTTTGTTATTGTTTTCATTTTCTCATATGAGAATTTGCGTTGCCAAACATATTTGCAGCAAAAATAAAAGTTTTTCTTGAGTTTTTATTTCTTCGCGGTTAATTTTTGTGGTTTTTATAAAAACGTATTGTTTATTAATTTCGTGTATTGATTGTTCCCGAAAAATGTCAACTTTTTTAAGTTTGATCAATAATTTATGTGCAGAATTGCGTTCGGAAAAAGTTACGACCCGTAATAAAGCAGCCGAGCAGTTGGATGATCATCTCAGTTCCTCGAAAAATGAACTTTTTGCGCAGCTAGATAAGCGCAATGATATGGATGTTTCATGGACTACCATCTTTAATAGTGCTATAGATGCCACCATAAAACATGCCATTAAGGTGGATGAAGCAAAAAATTCGAAAAGTTATCAGACAATGTGTAATAAGAACTATGTTTTTGCGGCCATTGTCCAGAAATTGATCAATTATAATTTGGAAGGTGAGTTGTAGGCTTTTGTTTAAATTATGGATTTTTTTGTAAAATTTTAACGAATTTCAGATCCTGAACATTTGTTTTCCAAATCTACACTATTTAATGCTCTCCAGGAGGGTTTCAAATCTCGTCCGGCACTTGAGTATTTTAGTGATACATTTTTGAAAATTTTAAATGAAGCTCTTTTTAAGTCGCCGGTATATGTGCGTGATATAAAACTGAATGAATTTAGTAGTAAGTTGAGAACTGTTCTGTTCTATAAACCTTTAGATTTTATATTGTTGTTTCGACTTTTGTTGTCCTTTTGTTATTCTTTCAGTTATTTTATCCTATTTGTTTGAAAACAATTTGGAAAGCAATAATCTTTTTCTATTCGCGTCTTTAAAATCTATTAATAAAACGATTGAACTTTCTCATGAATATGTACAAATGAGTGCTGATGTCATTGCCTATTTTCCGGAGGTTAAAGATTTTGCTCGCAAAGCTATTAAGGATTCACAAAAGGCCGATATTATAAAGTTGTATTATTTAATGGTTTCTCAGGTTTGTTGTTTTTTTAATATTAATAATAGTGTTTAAAATAGCTTTTTCGAATTTTTAGCATTCCGTTGATTATCACAATGTCATCTGCAATGGTCTTCAAGAGTTATTGCCCATTATAATAGGGTTTTATCAAATTGACATGAAAGCTGAATCAAAGGTTTGTTATTTTTGTATTGTATAGCCAGCAGCAAAGTATATGGTCTGAACTAGAACTTAACTAAAAATGAACTAAAACTGAACTAGGACCGAACTAGAACTGAACTAGAACTGAACTAGAACTGAACTAGAACTAAACTAGAACTGAACTAGAACTGAACTAGAACTGAACTAGAACTGAACTAGAACTGAACTAGAGCTGAACTAGAACTGAACTAGAACTGAACTAGAACTGAACTAGAACTGAACTAGAACTGAACTAAAACTGAACTAGAACTGAACTAGAACTGAACTAGAACTGAACTAGAACAGAACTAGCACTGAACTAGAACTGAACTAGAACTAGAACTGAACTAGAACTGAACTAGAACTGAACTAGAACTAGAACTGAACTAGAACTGAACTAGAACTGAACTAGAACTGAACTAGAACTGAACTAGAACTGAACTAGAACTGAACTAGAACTGAACTAGAACTGAACTAGAACTGAACTAGAACTGAACTAGAACTGAACTAGAACTGAACTAGAACTGAACTAGAACTGAACTAGAACTGAACTAGAACTGAACTAGAACTGAACTAGAGCTGAACTAGAACTGAACTAGAACTGAACTAGAACAGAACTAGCACTGAACTAGAACTAGAACTGAACTAGAACTGAACTAGAACTGAAATAGAACTGAACTAGAACTGAACTAGAACTGAACTAGAACTGAACTAGAACTGAACTAGAACTGAACTAGAACTGAACTAGAACTGAACTAGAACTGAACTAGAACTGAACTAGAACTGAACTAGAACTGAACTAGAACTGAAATAGATCTGAACTAGAACTGAACTAGAACAGAACTAGCACTGAACTAGAACTGAACAAGAACTAGAACTGAACTAGAACTGAACTAGAACTGAACTAGAACTGAACTAGAACTGAACTAGAACTGAACTAGAACTGAACTAGAACTGAACTAGAACTGAACTAGAACTGAACTAGAACTGAACTAGAACTGAACTAGAACTGAACTAGAACTGAACTAGAACAGAACTAGCACTGAACTAGAACTGAACTAGAACTGAACTAGAACTGTACTAGAACTGAACTAGAACTGAACTAGAACTGAACTAGAACTAGAACTGAACTAGAACTGAACTAGAACTGAACTAGAATTGAACTAGAACTGAACTAGAACTGAACTAGAACTGAACTAGAACTGATCTAGAACTGAACTAGAACTGAACTAGAACTGAACTAGAACTGAACTAGAACTAGAACTGAACTAGAACTGAACTAGAGCTGAACTAGGACTGAACTAAAACTGAACTAGAACTGAACTAGAACTGAACTAGAACTGAACTAGAACTGAACTAGAACAGAACTAGCACTGAACTAGAACTGAAATAGAACTGAACTAGAACTGAACTAGAACAGAACTAGATCAGAACTAGAACTGAACTAGAATTGAACTAGAACTATTTCAACTCTTATAAATTTATCTTAGGATTTAGAATTTAAAATTTAATCTACAAAACGAATAACAAAATTAGCAAAAATGTATTTCCTACTTTATTTTCCAGGAACTTCTTTTTCAATCTGTACTAATATCACTACAAACTCTGTATCCCTATATAAAACAAGGCAATACCAATACCATCAACATAGTACTCTGTGATACTTTGCCAAAAACTTTAAGAAAAATAAGAACTATGGTGGATATGGAAATCAAAGAAAGAAGTAAAAGTTTTTATCAACAAAGTCGTTTCCAACAAAACGATAGATATCTAAAGATTTTTATTAAAATGTCGGCTTTAATAATATATTTGGTAAATTGCAATAAATAGCAAAACGAGAAAAGAATTAATTTTGTCTACTTTTTTAAAGATCAATTGGCATTTTGAAAACAATTCAAAGCCTCAAAATGAAGAAGAAGAAGAAACCATGGCTTCAAGATCTAAAATATCCAAACTGGAAGACCAATTGGAAGTTTTATTAAATTTAGTGCAAAATTCTAAAGGGGAATTTAATGAGATTTGGTAAGTAAATAAAAATCATATTTTTAAAAATAAAGTTTCTATTAAAATTTTCAGGTTATCGATTTTAGCAGAATTGGTCAGAGAAATCCCAGACGTTATAAATATAACCAATTATCAGCCTTTATTATGTTTAAATCTTAATATTTTAAAAAATTATAAAAATAACAAAAATCTTAAAAGTATACGTTTATGTTTAACCGAACTTTTAAGTAAAGAGAAGCAGTTTGTTGCTATAAAATCTATACCGCACAACTATGGTCAAGAGGAATGGATTAAAATAGTTAAAATCCTAATAACCGATACCTCCTCTGACAATGAAATTATAACTGAAAAACAATTAACATTGCAGCAGCTCATTAAACATCATAAACTAACGGCGGAGGATTGTACTCAATTAGTTAATTCCTTTATGACAAATGCAGCCTTAAAACGTACTGAATGTGTGTTAACTATACAAGATATTCTTAAACAGGCCGATGTTATGGGTTTGGATAAAACCTCGCCTCTTATAGGGCAAACCATACAATGGTTGTACGGTGAAAGAGACAAAAATGAAGCTAAAACCATTTTGTTAAATATAGAGCCCGTTAAGCCTGCATTGATAGCAGAAACTTGCGCCATAGCAGTTATAAATTTTCTAGATGAAACAACATTGAAAACCTCTACCTCAACAGTAACACCAAAGGAAAAAAGTCCTACTTTAGAAATGTTGCAATTTAAATATAATCGTAAATTTCTATGCCTCGAAAGACATGGCAAACTTGTTAAAAGTATACAACAAAAACAAAATATCTGCAAAACCAATGAACAGAAAAATTGTTTATTTCAAGCCAACTATGAACTGCTAATGAGAACTTTAAATTTTGAAACTTCCAAAGGCACCACTTGCAAAGATATTATTTTAGATCTACAGTCGTTATTGAAAATTTCCTTACTCATGGAGTCTTTATTAAGGTTTGAGGTTTTTGACGATTCTACGTCTTCTTTTATGCAATGTCCTTTGATAAAACGTATTGGTTTCTTTTTGAGTCATTTAGAGGTAATTTATTTTTGAAATTATAGTTTTTATAGATAAAATTATTTGTTTTTTAATTTAGTTACAATTTAAAAACAATTTACCCAAAAATATGGAGCGTTCCATCTTGTGTGAAGTTTTAAATATTTTAGATAATGTCATTGTTTGTTTTACCAGCAATGAGTGTCTTCTGCAGTATTTGGAGAAACAACCCATTGAGGAAATGGTACAATTTTTGGGAGCTACTTTAAAATTGAGTGGTAAGTTTGAATTTTTTGTTACTTATCGTGGTATTGAAACGTATGAAATCATTAGTCTATAGTCTAGTCCATAGTCTAGTGTATATTCTAGTCTATAGTCTAGTCTATGGTCTAGTTTATAGTCTAGTTTATAGATTAGTCTATAGTCTAGTCTACAGTCTAGTCTATAGTCTTGTCTAGTATATAGTCTTGTCTATAGTCTTGTCTAGTATATAGTCTAGTCTATAGTCTATAGTCTTGTCTATAGTCTAGTCTATAGTCTTGTCTATAGTCTAGTCTATAGTCTAGTCTATAGTCTAGTCTATAGTCTAGTCTATAGTCTAGTCTATAGTCTAGTCTATAGTCTAGTCTATAGTCTAGTCTATAGTCTAGTCTATAGTCTAGTCTATAGTCTAGTCTATAGTCTAGTCTATAGTCTAGTCTATAGTCTAGTCTATAGTCTAGTCTATAGTCTAGTCTATAGTCTAGTCTATAGTCTAGTCTATAGTCTAGTCTATAGTCTAGTATATAGTCTAGTTTATAGTCTAATCTATAGTCTAGTCTATAGTCTAATCTATAGTCTAGTCTATAGTCTAGTCTATAGTCTAGTCTATAGTCTAGTCTATAGTCTAGTCTATCGTCTAGTCTATACCCTTTTATCTAGTCTATAGTCTAGTATATAGTCTAGTTTATAGTCTAATCTATAGTCTATTCTATAGTCTAGTCTATAGTCTAGTCTATAGTCTAGTCTATAGTCTAGTCTATCGTCTAGTCTATACCCTTTTATCGTCAAGTCTATAGTATAGTTTATTGTCTAGTCTATAGTACAGGTTTAAGTCTAGGCTATAGTCTAGTCCATAGTCTAGTCTAGGGTTTATAATCTGAGAAAGAAATCATAACCTTTCATAAATATTTTCTTTTAGCTAAAAAACAAACTCAACAAAGAGAATTTGATGACTGGACCATTGTTACCGAAACTTGTTTAAGACTCTTAGCTACATTATGTGCTAGTACCTCACATTGGAATGAAGCATTCGAACATATTACATCATTTTGTTTTAATATTAAAATACATAAAATAATTATACTTAGACTAACTAAGGTATGAATTAAAAAAACACATACATTTTTAGTTTAATTATTATTTTACAAACACTTTAGATCTTTTGTTTACAAAAATCTCACTACAAAGAAATTGGTCATTGGTTTGTGGAACATTTGAAAACTATATTTAAGCTATATCATACAAATATCGAAATAATGAATGATATAGTTGAAATGTTGCCAGGTGAGTTTGAAAAAAAAAATCAAATTAATAAAAACGAATTTAAAGAACAACCTTCTTCATTCAAGCTATTTTCGTTTATATCCAACAATATGATGACTGTCTCGATAACATGCTGGTGGCCATGTTTGGTTTATTCAAAATCTCTTTTCGTAAATCATATTCTGTTCAATTGACTACAAAAATCATTAATAGTGTTTGTTATATTGTTCGTGATTGTCGTGATATTTATATACAGGATAATTTTCGTAATATATGTTTATCTGTTGTTAAGTTTTTACCCTTTACCTCGTTGGAAGTACAATATGCCGCCATTAATACGCTAACTTCTTTAATGGATATTAATTGGTTGAAAAATTCTAAATGTGATATAGAAATTTATTATGATTTTTGTGAAAATATTTATGAAACAATAGAATGGAAAAAACTACAAGTGCCCGCAGCACAAGCTGAAGGTCCTGATCAATTACAAAATAGTATTGCCTTAAATGTACAATTACTGGTGTCACTATTGGCATTTAGTTGTTATCATAGAGAGAATGCTTTACAGGAATTGTCATTTGTATGTGCTCTGTACAAGTTAACAGAGGGTGAGTGAGAGTCAATGAAGTGGTTATAGGTGTGCAATAATTTATGAAATTTTTTCAGCTGATCTTAATGAATTCCATGGCATTGCCACTTTTTATAATACCTCTTTGAGGGATGTGATAAAACCCTGTATTTCAAGCGCCATACATACATGGATTTCAAAATCCTATCCGATTTTGAAGTAAGTATTTTGTTAAGAAGTAGTTAAGAGAAGTAGATCAGAGTAAGTAAGTAAGTATGTAAGTAAGTAAGTAAGTAAGTAAGTAAGTAAGTAAGTAAGTAAGTAAGTAAGAAAGTAAGAAAGTAAAGAAAGTAAGTAAGTAAGTAAGTGAGTGAGTAAATAAGTGAGTAAGTAAGTGAGTGAGTAAATAATGAGTAAGTAAGTGAGTAAGTAAGTGAGTAAGTAAGTAATAAAGTAAGTAAGTAAGTAAGTAAGTAAGTAAGTAAGTAAGTAAGTAAGTAAGTAAGTAAGTAAGTAAGTAAGTAAGAAAGTAAGAAAGTAAGAAGTAAGTAAGTAAATAAGTAAGTTAGTAAGTAAGTAAGTAAGTATTTGAGTAATGAGTAATTTAAAACATTTTTGTTCCTTTTTACAGATTTCCTTTTTATCTGTGCTATAAAAGCAAACACGACTTTGTAGCAGACAATTTAGAAGAAATTATTACTTGTTTGTTGATATATGGCAAATCTGCAGATTTAACAAAACTCAAGGACTATGGATCCCAAGCAGATCTTTTGAAGGTATTTAATACATAAACAGCACGAAACAATATGGTTTTGATCTGAGAAAATGTTATTATAAAAAACTTTTCTACTTAGATTGCTATACCCATTTTACGTGCATTTATCTTAAGCTCTCAATGCCCAGCCAATACCAATTCCGAATTTAAAAATAATATTAAAAATGTATTAAGTTTTGATTTGCAAAAAATTAAAAATGAAGCAAATACATGGAAAATAATGTTCACCCTAGTCGATATTTTAAAAGATGATAAACATTCACGTAGTATGGCAGGATTTCCTATATTTTTTCAAACAACTAAATGGTATAATATTGATTATAAGTGCCTGCAATCGGTGTTAAATTTGTATATAGTAAGTGTTAATTTTTGCAACATTTTATAAAAATGAATGATGATGAAGTTATTATTTTTCTCAGAACAACAGCACCAATGAACCAAAACCTGATATTCTTAAGTATTTCATTTCGAAATACCCCCTACGTTTGGTAAAAACTTTTGGAGCTTTAAAGAAAAGCTGTAGTGAATGTATTTTTCCCATTGATTCTTTAAAACAATTTTACAAGTTTTATAGCTTAGCAGACATGGTCTTGGACACTTTGCAGCACGCCTCCATAGCAGTAAATCTTGCAAATTATTTTACTCGTGATATAATATACTATTGCCTACATTGTATGGAAACGGCTGCCTTAAAAGATCTCCAGATATTAGCATTTAAAGCCTTGGAAAAGTTTCTAGACAAAGTGAAACATTTCAAGGATATTGAGCAGTTAATGGATAAACATTTAACTGCTATAAGCAAAACTATAGTACAATTATATAAAAATACCTCTTGTTTAGAGACTAAAGAGAAAGCTGCTGAAGTTTGTGAGCATTTAATACAAAATTATAAAAACTCCATAAAAGATAAGGAAATTTTAAAAAATGAGTTTTCCGTGGACGAAAAATTTGCTAATATAATTGCTATTTTGGAAACATTGCCAGATATAGGTGAAAATTCGAATGATTGGCAGAATTTCTTTAAAATATTTTTGGAAAATAAAAATTATACAGTGGATAATTTGAAAATGTTGCAGCAACAGGTAGAAATATGTTTAACCCTTATTAAATAAAGCAAAAGTAATTAATTTATATTTTAGATTTCAAAATCTAAACGTCTTCTAGCCAATGACAGTGCTTTACTTTATCGTTTAATAAGACATCTTTTGCAAATTGTGCGAGAAACTCAAGTTAATGCAATTAGTTTAGAGGCTCTTAAGTGTTTGGGTGAAATAGGTCCTTTAAATTTAAACCAAATTTCTTATTACTTTGAAGCTGACTTTTGTACAGAGGAGGTGAGTATTATTTTAAAAGGACTTTATAATTTATACAAACATTTATTTTTCTTTTCAGCAAACTGATGATATTTTACAAATCCAGCATTTTTACAAAGCTATTTATTTAATATTAGAGAAACTTTTAGATACATTCCACTATACTACCCACTCTTATGTAGTTGAAGTTGCTCAATATTTGGTAAATTCGAAACATGGTCAGGATCTATTAGGTAAGAAAAATATTGAAATTGTATTTGTTAAATTTTAAGTTTCAAGTGTTATTAAAGTTGTGAATGCGTCACTGCGTGAGATGGTTTGTCTAAAAGTACAAACTCGTGGGAAAAACTTTGAGGGACTTAATAAAAAGCAGATACCTCTTCTGCTTTAAGGAATAGGACAGGGCAAAAGATAGGTACAATCCATGGGAGTTAGATATTCCGACAATCCGACCCTTTAAGATATTCATGTCTGAATTGTTGATCATGAATAGCAGAAACTGTTGATGATCTTCTTAAGGTAACAAGTGACAACATGAGTTAGATAGCTGAGATGTCCTCTCTTACTGATGAGGGTAATGGAAATCAATGTGGACACTAGCGAGAAGACTGCCCACAACTTCTGCAGGTAACTGTGTAACAGGTGCAGGTAACACGGGCCGAACAAAATAGGAGGAAACTAAGAACGGGTCGTAGAAGTTGCTTGTGTTTTTAGAAAAGTTGGCAAAGAGAGATTCTTGAATGTTAATGACTAAGTCGCTCAAGTCCAGGAAGATCCAAATGACGAAAACTCCAGGTGTAGTAAAGAAGAAGATCAGGGAAATGCGGATACAAGACAATCATACAGGCCGATATTCCTCCTATCAATATTCGCGAAGACTCTCGAGGCGCTTATCTTCTCCCAGCTGTCCAGCCACCCAGCTCGTCACAAGCATGGTTTCTGCAAAATGTACAGCACCACCACAGCATTAACCGCCATTGCCACTCAGATCTCAAAGGAAAGGTCCTAGTGGCTCTTGACCTGTCGAATCCTGCAATCCACAATGCCCAACAACACGAAGAGATGGATAGTGAGTGGCCATCAGTCGTTCGTAGAGTTTAGAGGCAGACGCTCCAAACCCCGTAGAGTTAAACAAGGCGTACTTCAAGGTGAAGTACTATCGCCACTTTTGTTACACTTATACCTCTCTAAGCTCCCCGCACCTCCGCAAGGCGTGGACGTGATTTCATATGCGGACGACTGTACAATCGACGGGCCACAACATTGATGAAATATGCGTTCAGGTGAATGTTTATCTCGATGAAATACATCAGTTCTTCATTGCGCGTAACCTGCAATTATCACCAGCGAAGTCGTCAATATCCTCTCACATTTGATAGCCTCTTTACTTCCTCAGCTCACGCCACTGCAATCACGCACAAATTGCGAAGTAGAAAAAAGGTCCTCAAAGCGCTAGCCGGCAGCACTTGGGGTATGGATAAAGAAACCTTGTTAGCTACATATAAAACGATTGGTCGGTCAATGGTTAATTATGCAGCTCCAGTGTGGTCACCTTCGCTCAGTGATACCCAGTGGACAAACTTTCAAAGCTGCCAAAATGCCGACCTAAGGACTGTAACGGGCTGCTTACAAATTACGTCGGAACACAATGTCATGTTGACTAAACAGTTCCTCCAGGGATGTCATCGGAGGAGTCATCCCAACTTTAACATCACACAGTTGGATGCTCCCCCGAGGCATGTCAGGAAGGATCTTCGTAGATACGAGGAAAACGTTTGCAGATATGTGCAGGATCCATTGGATCAGTCCTCGTATGCGGCAGCTTTGAACGACATTCATAGAAACGCCATAAATTCCGCGGTCTCAGGATACCGCATGAATGTCGTACTTGGAGGTCGCCCATAGCAGACACGGAAGAAAGCCTGCCGCGGAGAACAAGAGTAGTTCTGGCACAACTACAATCGTGATGGAGCAACAGTATCAATGCCTACTGGTCATGTATAGACCGTGCTGTCCCCAACGAATGTCCTGCATGTAGTCAGGATCCCCATGACACCCACCACATATTCAACTGCCCAGCCAACCCTACTTCACTCCGTCCAATGGATTTATGGACGCATCGAGTTAAAGTAGCCCAATTTTTAGGCCTGGACATTGATTATTGTATAGTTTTAGCTGTTACAAGAACAACAACAATTGTAGGTTGGCTTATAGGTTAAATCTCCGTCTTCAGTAGCAAGTTGCAAGTTAAAAACGTAAAAGGTGCCAATTGTGGAAAATAGAATTTTAACAATGATTTATATCCTATTTTTTATAAATTTGCCAAATCAAATTCCTCTTTTTTTCATTCATAATTCTTTCCAGAAAACTTTCCCTACTTTTCGGTATTTCAATCTGATCTCAGTCTCAACTATTTGGATAACTATGACAGTATACCCGCATTAGATTGGCTAAGTACTCTCAAAACAACAGAATCTTATGATTATGAACAATGGATTTGTAAATTTATTTCTCAAATCTATCAACAATGTAATTGGTTACAATTTCAAGAATTAGCAGCCAAAGATACATATTTTGCAGAACATTCTTTAATACCATTTATACGATTATTGCTGCAGTGTTCGGAACAGCCACATATGAATACGATTTTAAATATGTTGGAATATTTCTTTGAAGAATTTCTACAGCATCATACTGCAACAAATGTTAGTGAATTGAAAAAAGTCTTCAAAGATAAACGTGTTATAAATATGATATTAAATATATGTGAATGTATACGTGTTAATAATAATTGGTAAATTTTGAAAATTGATTAATTTTGAATGTTAATCTAAAATTCTACTTTTTTTAGGAACTTACCTTTGAAACTGCTTAACGTGGCCCTGGCCTGTAATTATTGCCAAGCTTATTTCTTATCAATTATCTATTTAGAATTATGGGCTATAGAGGAACAGGAGCAAAAACCACAGCCAGGCGCAATTGGTAAAACAAGGGTAGAGATTATGTCAAATCTTCACTTTCAGCAGATAGCCAGAAAGGTAAGGTACCCTAAAATAATATAAATTCAAGTTTAATTGCATAATTATATTTCAGGCTTATGATTCCATTGGTTGTAATGATGCCATTTCTGGTTTTATTAATCCTTTAAATTCTCGTTTGGATTATTTAAATCTCACCAATAATTGGTCTGATATACTCATCGAATCGAATGATATTGCCACCAATAGTAATGCCAACTATCTTTGCAATACGATCTTAAAACGTAATGGCATGTTTAATCTGGTCAATGGAGATGTAGATAAATCTTCGGTAGATTATGAAATCTGTTGGCGTTTATGTCGTTGGGATACCGTAGTCGAGGGTCATTCCAAAGTTGATACTTTAAATGATATGAAATATGAATTTGAAAAACATCATTTTAATGCTTTAAAATGTCTCTATAATAAAGAAGAAAATAATGCATTGGCCGCTATAACAAAGTCTAGACATTGTGTTTTGAATATCTTGAAAGAAATCAGTGTGGAATGTTTGCAAAGTGTTTATAAATATATGACCTGGTTACAATTGTTGCAGCAATCTGAAGATTTTTGTTTGGTAAATACATTTAACATTGTTAATTAAACCTTTTTGTATTCTTTAAAATGTCTTGTTTTCAGATTCAATTTTCAAAATCCGTGCCTGTGGAACAAATATTCGAAAAATGGCAATTGGAAGCGAATGATTTACTTTATGGTAACTTTTCTTGTAAAGAACTGATATTATCGCATCAAATCTCATTGTTTCAAACTGCTGGTATAAGAGCTAACCGGAAAATTAATGAGTTTTATAAGGTAAGTTTGAAGATATTGATTAATATTAACTGTTAAGTTAAAAATAGAATGAAATGGGAACCACTACTGGTTAGTAAAGAATTTAACTGGAAGTGAGGAATTTTCTTTAGAAAACTTTTTGAGCTTCCTTATTAGGAATTAATCCTGTCACTCAAAGAGAATCATACAACCCATCTCTGCGGTGCCGGCAATAGTAGCAGTGGTGTATCTCTTTCAATTTAATCCTTTTGTAGGATGAATAAACATGTATTTAGGGGGTAAACTAATATTGCCGCATACCCTATTAAAGAGTTTCCAAATACGGACATGTGACTTAAATCTGAAAAACTATTTGAGTGGAATATAGTTTCAACTGATCTAAAACTATAACAAATAATGACGAATTAAACCAAAACATTACAGGGAACTAAGAATATTTCACGTAATCTTAACGCCTGTCCTTCTCTCCTATGACTTTGAGAATTTTGTCTCTTGAAAAACTCAACATCCCGACGTTCTGAAAGGTCTCAATCTCGATATGCCAATTTGTGATTGTACAACCAGACAAACCTGCAACATAAGGAGAATAATACCGCAACATCTCTGCATTCTCCACAATAATAGAACTGTTATATCACTTTCAATTTCACCCTTTTGTAGGATGAATGAACTTGTAATTAGGTGGCAAACTAGCGATTGATTTCAGTTTTCGATTTACCAAAATCTCCCAGTAAACCGACATCTGTTGATTATGAAGATGTTCTTTAATTAAAGAAAACGAAAGATATTGATTACAACCCTTCGATGCCTTCATTATTTTCTGATTTAACAGAATCTATAGGCAAACCGGAGACACCAAAATCTCCTCTAGTTTCGAAAAAATTCTTCAATCTCTTGATGATTTTGAATTTGAGAAATTAACTCAAAGACTTCGATGTCTCCACAGTTTTCTAAACAAATCGGATAACCAAAAACTCCTCCCGACAGAGAATTACCAAAATCAACTGATGTAGCAGATGAACCAAAATCTTCTCTAGATTCGATAAAATTTTTCACTAAACCGCCATCAATAGATGGTTCCAATGATGACTTTGAATTAAAAAACCAACAGATCTTGACCTGAGTCTTTCGATGCATCCACAAAACGTTAAATAAATTGGACAAACCAAAAGCTCCTCTAGACACATAATGGCCAAAATCAACATCTCATCCCGACACAGAATAATCAAAAACCAGTGAGTAGACAAACCAAAATCTCCTTTAGATTTAAAAAACTCCCACTAAACGGACATCTATTCTGATTCGGAAATTTGCAATAATCGTTGAGTCAAAGGTGGAAGGAAGTTGTAAAGTCGGTATTGCGGAGTAGACAATCGTTTTGCGTTAAACTTCAAGTCAACCTGTGCAGTTATTATAGTGCTTTCGCTCGCTGCTTTCCATGTAACTACCAACAGATTTTTTGTTTGTTGGTTGTTTGAAGTCTACCAATTTTGGTTGATAGACCCCAGCTGCCTTTTCCATTTGTTTCTGTTTATTTTGTGTTTTTATTGTTATTCATGTGATTCCCACCAATTTAAGGAACTGATTTAAATACCGACCTCTATCTGGCTTTGGAAATAATTTGATGGCGATTTGGGTTCTCGTTAAAGCTCCCACCACCTTAACAATGGATATAAAAGAAGGGATGTTCTGTTGCCATTTCTCAAAAATGTATAAGAAAAATAAGAGAGTTAAGGGACAGCTTTTGCTCCCCGGTCACACAATAAAGAAAATATTGTATAGCCGCAGCTGATCATAAAATTTGTTACATTACATTAACAATTTCCATATCAGTGTGACCATTAGACAAAATTGTATGCAAGATGTCATAATCTGTTACAAAATGCATTACAGGTCAACAAATGCACCAAAAGTCTGCTAATTGGGAAGCATCCAAAGTAGTATTTTTATAATAATTAAAAATTACATTTATTTTTAGGAAAATCCCATTGAGAAATGTCTGCTAAAATGTGTACGGGATTGTAAAGCTGCTGGAGAAATTAATTTAGCTAAACGTTATATAGCGATATTGAAAAATATGCCCATAGATAATGTACAGTTAAAGGTAAACTTAACTCCTAATCGTCCATATATTTCAATCTGAAAAATCTTTTTTTTTTTTTTTTTGGTATAAACAGGTCTGTGCTTTATTAGAAAATGTTGATATTTGTATGAAAACCGATAAACCTGAAATTACCAAAGCTATTCTTCACCATATTTTCAAAAATAAAGAGTTTCAATTCTGCCTACAACGTGTCACCGCCATGCAAATGAACGGAGAATATTTAATGGAAACTAATACCGAAACTTTTGATATTGTTTTAAATAAATATTTTCTGGGCTCTTTGGAGGCTTTAAAGAAATTTGATAGTACCAAAGAGGCGATATTACAAAGATATCCCAAACTTTTTGAATTGAGTGAATTTGCCGAATTTGAAGAGAAAAGTAAAAAGAGTGCTTATGAAATTATAGCCAAATATGCAGATAGAGAATATACACAGGTATTGATTTATAGTGATATTAACTTTGTTAGTACAATTTTGTTGAATTTTTTATAATACAGTTAAATACCTATATAAATTCCGATGAATTCAACATGAAACGTCAAATTATGGAACTCAATCGTCAAACGGCCAGTACGGTGGGTAGACAGGTGCGAGATCGTGACAAGCAAATAAGTGCCAATTTTATGAAGAGAACTTCTAATATCGATGAACAAGAAATACAATTAATGGAACAAAAACTAACCACTTATTTATGTGTAGCGGTGGAGAATTATATTAAATACACCTGTCTTGATGCAGCCATAACAAGTCCAGTTATTTATCGCATTATAGGTTTATGGTTTGCCAATAAACAAAACGAAACTTTACGTACAAAAATCCAGGAAAATATTTCCTCTGTACCCAGTTATAAATTCATTTGTGCTTTAAATCAAATGACTGCACGTTTGAATTCTAAAAATTCCGAATTTATTACTCTACTCAAGGATATTATGATACGTTGTGTCCAAGAACATCCTCATCAAACTCTATATCAATTATATCCCATTGTTTATGGTTATATTGATGGTACGGAAAATAAAACCGATTATCGTTCAAAAATTGCTCAGGATATTATAGCAAAAGCTAAAAATAAAACAAATGCAAATATAATTAAACAATTGGAAAGTGTTATACCAGGTAATGGGTTTAGTTTATCTTCAATATCCTTTAAAATAATAACAACATTTCTACCTTTTATTTTAGCTCTTATTGATTTTGCCAATACGGAAATATCTGCCGACAACAAAACCAGTGCTACAACTTTAAGTGATAAATTAAGAAAGCATAAAAACTTAGATGCCATTCATTGTCCCACTATTGATTTGCCCGTACGAAATGATTTGAAATATACGATTACCAGTGAGTTAACGATGAAAGACAAAAACAAATTGAACTTTAATTGTTTTTTTTTTTTTTAGGTATTATCAAATGGGATCATCAGGTTTCTTTAGTGGGTGGTATAAATGCTCCTAAAAAATTACTATGCCTTTGTGCGGATGGCCGAACAAGACCTCAATTGTTAAAAGGCAAAGATGATTTGCGTCAAGATGCTGTTATGCAACAAGTATTTTGCATGATTAATAATCTTTTAAAACAAGAACCGGCCGCAGTGGAACGTAAACTATTAATTAGAACATATAAAGTTGTACCATTATCAACCAGAAGTGGCCTCTTAGAATGGTGTGAAAATACTGTACCTATTGGTATCTATTTAACAGCTGCACGTAAAAAATATCGCCCCTCCGAGTACAGTGTTAGCAGATGTCGTCAGTTGGCTCATGTAAGTTATGAGTTTTAATAAAGCAATAATTAATTTCTTTTATAAAAGTATGATTTTTTAAAAAAATTAATTGTCAATATTAAAACTTTATAGTAATCAACCTTTGTTGAAGTAATCTATATTTGATAAAGACATTAATAACATTTTGTATTGATTTTTTTATTTTTATCTTTATTTATTTTATCTTTTAGACACATCTAAAAGCCGCTCCAGAAAGACGTTTTGAAGTACACACTCACATTTGCCAAAGTATTAATCCAGTATTTCATTATTTTTTCTTTGAGAAGTTTTCAAGACCTGGCATATGGTTTGAACGTCGATTGGCTTATATAAACAGGTATGTAAACGTGTTTATTTTCATTATTACATATGAATGTGTATATATTTGGAGTTTGATCATTCATATATTGCTGAATAGTTTCATAATTTAGCAACTTAATTGTCATTTCATTTAAAAAGGTATTTTTTTTAAAAAAGAATTATGAATTTTGAATAATTTTAATTTTAATTTGACTATTTTCGATAGATTTTTCAATTTGTTTTTAATCATAAATTGGATTCAAATAACAAATAGTCCAGATTTTTATAGAAAAGTTTCCTCCCAATTTTCTTTTAAAAATGTTATGCACTTTTTTCCGTAATAAAAAGTTTAAATTTAATGCAAATGTTTATAAGAATGCATTCTGAACAGATACATTTTCGTATGTATCCTCAAGTGCAAAAAATGGGCCTAATAACGTTAGTTTAGAAGGATTATGTTTCACTCGAAGACTACTGGTCCATAGTGTGATTCCTTTCTGCAGAAAGTATGGAAAGCAAAGCAAATAGTAAGGCATTTGGAAAAAACTTGTGATCCAATAGACCAAGCCTAATTCTGGACCATCAAAGATTCACAGATTTGAAACAGAAGAAAATGAAGAAATCAGATACATCATCTTGTAATTTGGATTTTTTTCGAAAAAAAACCTTAAACTACTTCGATTCGTTAGTTAGTTGTTGAAATTTACAGCTAACTGGGGAATCGTATTAATGATTGACAAGTGATATCTTTGCTTTGGCTTTGGAGTGATTTGAATAATTATATAATTAATGATTGTGATACGATTGATTGGTTTTAAGAAAGAATTTTCTAAAAAAGAATTTTTCTGTCAAAACATTTCTGTTATCGTTCCTAGATGCAAGGTGCGGTACAAATTACAGAGCATGACTGTGGATTAATAAAAAGTTGGAATTGAGCTGATAATGCGAAGAATTGGTAAACGAGGATGAACGATGTTTCTGATGTCTACTTTGATTCTATAAAGAGTATGGAGTGATTGATGGATTTGACGGATGTGTGATAATGGTGTAACGATGTAAGATGAACGATGTGTTAGACTACTGTCTAGCAAGCCAATGGGGTGCAAGGTCGTCACTGCCCTTTCTTTAATTTATTAGCGATTTTCCAACATGGTTGAGTGCATGCTCAACTTATCACAGTGGGTCTTTGTAGCCACTGAAATAAAGTCTTGTCAATTAATATGATCTGTGTTTTTCGGACTACCAATTACGTCCCCTAGGTGCTGTTGCCGAATCAACAGAGCCATAGTAGTGTGGTTGGGCGACATTATGTCGGGGTAGATTGAGCTTGCTCATGACACCTGTGTTTCCCCAACGTGACTACTTTGGCAAGATATTAGATAGCTCGAGTACTTGAGCAAAGTGCTTGTACATGGACCGGCATATCCATGTACAAAAATTGCGACCTGCGTGTAAGATACACAAAGGGGCAGTGGTGAGTTATTTACATGAAATAGGGCTCCACGCCAGGTACTCACGTAAAGCACTTCGTCTTCATGTCAAAACAATCTAGCTAAACTGCAATGAAATCCAGACGACTTTGGGAGCGCTTGATCTCGGCTATTAAAACAAATGCAATGCAGAGCAAGTTGTCATTTTGTTTGTGTTCTTTCCAAGTTTTGGCGTTGGACACTCTGCAATCAAGCATACATTTTCAGGATTCTGTTACGGAATCTGCCGAAGACCATATAATAGTGACATATGTAGATCGTTACACTCATGATCCTTGTATTAGGTCTAGATCCGAACCAAGCCAATAAACTTAACGAAACGTGAAAGTCTCATGTATCTACGCGAAAAATGGTTGGATAGTAAATAAACGAGAACGAATAAGGTGGTCGACTTGTTTGTGCTCTTGTCTGAATTACAAGTTTTAAGCAAAATTTAGTCAAAACGATATGTGTTCCTTTGCAATTTTGATATGTACTTGTCACTTGTTGTAAATCGTTATCATATTTAAACATTCATCCAAAATTTACTAACACATTTGATCATTTATCGTTGTCTTTATTGCAAACATATTGAACATTTTGACGCAGTAGAATAAATTTGAATTGAAAAATTTCATTTCTTCAACTACAATTATTAAAACTATTGTTTCACTATTTAAAAAAAAAAATAAATCTGAGTATGTTCGGACTGAAATTGGCTGAAAGAAAATTTAATAAAACAATTTTAGATTTTGAACTCAAAATTAAGACGGTATATAACAGATATATAGTTCGGTTTGCATTTTAGATAACGATGTAAAAAAGTTCAACTGATTAAAAATGAATCCCAACTTTGTTTTTTAATAAAATGTATAATTTTCCTTTAAAAACTTAAGTGTGGCCACCACCTCTATGGTGGGCTTTATTTTGGGCCTAGGTGATCGACATTTACAAAATATACTTATTGATGAAAAAACTGCTGAAGTAATACACATCGATTTTGGTAAGTATTGGATATGATTTTTAATAAATCATTAACTTGAAGTTATCACTAACCGAAAAAAAACTTAATAATCTAAATTATAAACCATTAGTTACTTTAATTAGGACTAATAGCACAGGCCAACAAGGGTTTAACCCAGAGAACAAGGTATACTTTTCTGAATCCTAATCTGACCTCAAAATGTATCTATCTATCTATCTATCTATCTATCTATCTATCTATCTATCTATCTATCTATCTATCTATCTATCTATCTATCTATCTATCTATCTACTCCTATCTATCTATCTATCTATATACTATCTATCTATCTATCTATCTATCTATCTATCTATCTATCTATCTATCTATCTATCTATCTATATCTATCTATCTATCTATCTATCTATCTATCTATCTATCTATCTATCTATCTATCTATCTATCTATCTATCTATCTATCTATCTATCTATATATCTATATATCTATCTATCTATCTATCTATCTATCTATCTATCTATCTATCTATCTATCTATCTATCTATCTATCTATCTATCTATCTATCTATCTATCTACTATCTATCTATCACCTATCTATCTATCTATCTATCTATCTATCTATCTATCTATCTATCTATCTATCTATCTATCTATCTATCTATCTATCTATCTATCTATCTATCTATCTATCTATCTATCTATCTATCTATCTATCTATCTATCTATCTATCTATCTATCTATCTATCTATCTATCTATCTATCTATCTATCTATCTATCTATCTATCTATTATATCTATCTGATCTATCTATCTATCTATCTATCTATCTATCTATCTATCTATCTATCTATCTATCTCTAGCTATCTATCTATCTATCTATCTATTCTATCTATCTATCTATCTATCTATCTATTATCTATCTATCTATCTAGCTATCTATCTATCTATCTATCTATCTATCTATCTATCTATCTATCTATCTATCTAGCTATCTATCTATCTATCTATCTATCTATCTATCTATCTATCTACTATCTATCTATCTATCTATCTTATCTATCTATCTCTATCGATCTATCTGTATATCTATCTGTATATCTATCTGTATAGCTATCTTCTATCTAGCTATCTATCTATCTATCTATCTTATCTATCTATCTATCTATCTATCTATCTATCTATCTATCTATCTATCTATCTATCTATCTATCTATCTATCTATCTATCTATCTATCTATCTATCTATCTATCTCTATCTATCTATCTATCTATCTATCTATCTATCTACCTATCTGTATATCTATCTGTATATCTATCTGTATATCTATCTATCTATCTATCTATCTATCTATCTATCTATCTATCTATCTATCTATCTATCTATCTATCTATCTATCTATCTATCTATCTATCTATCTACTATCTATCTATCTATCTATCTATCTCTATCTATCTATCTATCTATCTATCTATCTATCTATCTATCTATCTATCTATCTATATCTATCTATCTATCTATCTATCTATCTATCTATCTATCTATCTATCTATCTATCTATCTATCTATCTATCTATCTATCTATCTATCTATCTATCTATCTATCTATATATCTATATATCTATCTATCTATCTATCTATCTCTATCTATCTATCTATCTATCTATCTATCTATCTATCTATCTATCTATCTATCTATCTATCTATCTATCTATCTATCTATCTATCTATCTATCTATCTATCTATCTATCTATCTATCTATCTATCTATCTATCTATCTATCTATCCTCAAAATTCTTTAAAAAAATATACTCTAATCTCTAGATTTCGATTTATTTTTAAGTTTGTTGTTCTGTATAGTTAGTGATAACTTCAAGTTAAACTGAGACCAATTCTTTATATGAATCCACAACTAAACAAATACTTTCTTAAACTCCAAAATACAGGTGTAGTTTTTGAACAGGGTAAACTACTGCCAACACCAGAAATTGTACCATTCCGTTTAACACGTGAAATAATAGCACCCATGGGTATATGTGGCGTTAATGGAGTTTTTAAACTATCTTGTGAAACTACTATGGCCGTTTTACGCAAACATCAAGATGTTATAAACACTATATTGGAAGTTTTACTTTACGATCCATTGTATCTATGGAAAGTTGTACCACAGATTGATGATGATAAACAAAATTTTAATAAATTAAGTAAGTTACTCGCTAAAATTATGTCAAACTTTGATTTAATATATAAATTATAATATTTAATAGAGGAAGGCACAAATTATATGGCTCAACGGGCATTATTGGCGGTACAAAATAAACTTGAAGGCAAGCAGAGAGGAATTTTTGGTTCAACCAGTGTTGCTGTACAAGTAGAATGTCTAATCAATGAAGCTATGAATGATCGTAATTTAGCCATGATGTTTGATGGCTGGGATCCATATTTATAAAGATAAACAATGACTTTTTTAATAGCATTTTGTACTTTTTTTATTCTTAATAAAGAAAAATGCAGTTTTGAGTTGTTTGATTTGAATAAAAGTTTCAGGAGAGTGTTGGGAACTTTCCAAGAAAACTTAACTACTATTCATATAAAAACGATAATAAGATCATGATATTGGTCATCTAATTATCTCTTTAAAGCTTTAAATTTAGTATTGCAATCGAAAAATCATATCTTAAAACTATTAACTACATTATTCTAATTTGTATTGCTTTTTACTGACATATAGAACACATTTCCCCCTATTAACACTTATAATTTCTGTTTTAAAACCCAAGTGTGGCCACCACTTCTATGGTAGGCTTTATATTGGGTCTAGGTGATCGTCATTTACAAAATATACTTATCGATGAAAAAACCGCCGAAGTAATACACATCGATTTCGGTAAGTAGCACTTAGATATCCACCAATCACATTGAACAATTACAACTAAAAAAGAAAAACCTATTCTTAACTTTAGGCATAGCATTTGAACAGGGTAAAATAATGCCAACACCAGAAACTGTACCATTTCGCTTAACACGTGAAATTGTAGCGCCCATGGGTATTTGTGGTGCCAATGGTGTTTTTAAGAAATCTTGCGAAACTACCATGACCATTTTGCGTAAACATCAAGATGTTATCACCACTATTTTGGAAGTTTTACTCTATGATCCATTATATATATGGAAAGTTATACCACAAGTTGATGATGAAAATCAAAATGTTAATAAATTGAGTAAGTATATTAAAATATATCTTCCGATTTTTCACAAGAAAAACTATAATTTTTAGTAATTTCCGGTATATTTCCGACCTATGTCTTTGTAGTAAAACTAATAACATTAAAATATTTTCCATTTATAGACGAAGGCACAAATTATATAGCTCAACGTGCTTTACTAGCGGTTCAGAATAAACTTGAAGGTAAACAGAAGGGTATTTTCGGTACATCCAGTGTTGCTGTACAGGTGGAACGTTTAATCAATGAAGCTATGAGTAATCGTAATCTAGCTATGTTGTTTCCGGGCTGGGACCCATATTTATAAATGTTTGTTGTCGTTTAAAAGCTGTTTTTTATAATCCTTTTTTATTATTTATAATAAAATCTATAAAATGAAACAAAATGTTAATTAAGGGCATGATTTTAGTACAAATAAGTGTACATACTTTTAAGTATGGTTACTGAATTTTTACTATTTCCTCTAAAAGTATATGTATATTCTTATTATCAATCGGTTTTCCTAACAAATTATCTTTCTGTAACTAATAAGCATTTTAAAAAGAATCAGGATATAAGCAGGATGGCATACGAAACGATCTATCTCTCTCTAAGCTGATGAAGAAGATTGACAAAGTCGCAATTGAATTTGTAGACACCAACATATCACTGTTTATATAGCACCGCAACGGGAGATAAAGTAAAACGCCCGACTTTAAGTTATAGAAGCCACTAACACCACTAAATCTTATATATAACAACCATCACCTTGGCGAATAAGAAGTTGAATAGCTGACAATGGTTTTTCAGCAAAAGGAGAATGGGGACATCATTGTCCCAACATTTCAACTTCCCAACTTCAACTCATTACCCCACAAGCGTTATACCAACTGAATACTCGTAAAAGGACGGTCATTGTCGTTGAAAATTGCGTAGAATCTAAGAAAATGTTACTCTAGTTCGACCCCTATCGGCCCTTTTGCTCTCTATTTAGCTCTCTATATATACCTCAACAATGAGTGAATGTGACTATAATGTCGGCATCTGTACGTGATGACCTGTGCAGTTTTGAATTATTCAAGACATACATCACCACCAAGATCTTCAGCAACACCTCAATATTGCAGTTGTAGTCGATTAAACCAACTGAGAACCCAGCTCATAACACTGCACGGTCACCAAGACAAACACCACCACATATTTAATCGACCAACCAACTCTACTAGTCCGGGACGTTCCCACGATAATTTGATCTTAGCTCCGGTACGACCCGAGTCATACTCGGCCAAAGATTGTCAACCCAGCGACAGCTGTATCAACCCAAAGTTTTTTCCCCAGAAAAGAACCATCGGCTACAGTCGAACTGTTACAAGAACAACAACTTGTCCGGGAAAGTACTACTACTATTAGATTTGGAACACGATTCAAAATCCTGGATTAAAAAGTAGCAAGATTCAAAATCCGTATTAAAATGAATTCGTTGGCGTTTCTTCTAAATCTTCCGTTACCTTGAAGTCTGAAATTATGAGAGCTTACATTTCTTAAGCCTAAATGAAGTTGTCTTAAAAGTACAGAGTAAGTTTTTTATGTTTGTATTTCAAAATTTTCAAAAAAATGTCTTTTCTAAAGTTAAAATTATTCACGAATCACAAGATCGTTCAATACAAAACGAATGTTATTTCTTAACAAGTTTTGCATTCGAAAAAATGTCTTCCGTTTACGAAAAATATCGGGAAACGATCAATAGGGATCAATAACTCGAAAATTTATATCAAGAAGTACCTTGAAGGGTTCTTAAACATTTTTCGTAAATAATACTGTGAATCTGAGTTGAGTTGATCAAATTTAATGCTATGTCACTATCCAGCTGTTCGACAAAGAATTAATGCATCAGAAAATTACAGTCATTTAAACTAACCTCTAACCACCTGGTTGTCTGAAATTCGTTTTTCCTCTCAAATGTCACTTTAATAACCCTTTTGTAAGCAAGAGCGCAGACTGTCGGGGACTAGACACTTAAAGAACTAAAGCGGAAAGGTTCATTGCTATGTACTGACTCCAGATTGTCTCTTTGTAATCTATGGAATGACGATTGACTTCCACCTGGGTGTCGGGTGGCTAGGGGTTATCCTAAGTGGTAGCTAGTTCGGAACTGTCCCTAGAAAGTCCCAGAAAATAAACTACAAAATCATATTTTCTTAATTTAATTATTAATTTCTTTAAGTACATTATCTACATAAGTACATACATACAGACATACATATACACAATTTAAATTCTGATTAAGTACAATTTGTTTTTCTTATATAATTCTCTGCTTCTAGCGCCATAGAATAAATGCTTAAATTATAAAAATTATAAAAAAATGCCTCTATATCCTATTCTTGTATTAATGTTTAACAAAAAACATTTTTTAATTTCTGTGAAAATTGTGAGTATTTCTCTTCGGAATATTGAGCTTTACGCTGTTCTTGCATTTCCTGTTTATAAAGCAGCCATTGTTTACGTATAACCGGATCACTAGGGCCCCATTCTTCACTGGGTGAACAGGCTTTTTTAATACTCTGAAAGAAAAGCAGTATAAACATTATTCACTTTTAAGTTTAGAAACATTTTAAATAAAACTTACATTCCATATAGAACCATTACTATTACTAGCTGTGCTCCATATAAACCATAAAGGAAATTGTACAAAACCTATGGCCAATAATATCCAACCCGCAACTGTAATTTAGTTATTTTCAAATTGTGCTTATTTAATTTTAGAATATTTTGTATATATGTTTAATTACTTACTATTAGCTGCTTCTGGATAATCCATGCCAGCATATTTTAATGTTTTCAATTCTGCCATGGAATAGACAAAAATAAATAGCAACAATAGTGGTGTTACCACCGCCCAACATATGCGCCAATAGAATGATACATGTTGTTTGGTCATAAATTCAATATCATCACAGAAATTGTTTAAACCTGAAATAAAAAAAGGAGAATCAAATCAAACAGACTTCTTCTGAAAATGCCTGCTTTAAAATAAAAATTGGACACAGTGGGAAATTTCAGTTATAGTCCAGTTCCAGTTCATATTTAGTTCAGTTCTAGTTCAGTTCAGTTTTAGTTCAGTTCTAGTTCAGTTCTGGTTCAGTTCTAGTTCAGTTCTAGTTCAGTTCTAGTTCAGTTCTAGTTCAGTTTTAGTTCAGTTCTAGTTCAGTTCTAGTTCAGTTCTAGTTCAATTCTAAGTCAGTTCTAGTTCAGTTCTAGTTTAGTTCTAGTTCATATCTAGTTCAGTTCTAGTTCAGTTCTAGTTCAGTTCTAGTTCATTTCTAGTTCAGTTCTAGTTCAGTTCTAGTTCAGTTCTAGTTCAGTTCTAGTTCAGTTCTAGTTCAGTTCTAGTTCAGTTCTAGTTCAGTTCTAGTTCAGTTCTAGTTCAGTTCTAGTTCAGTTCTAGTTCAGTTCTAGTTCAGTTCTAGTTCAGTTCTAGTTCAGTTCTAGTTCAGTTCTAGTTCAGTTCTAGTTCAGTTCTAGTTCAGTTCTAGTTCAGATCTAGTTCAGTTCTAGTTCAGATCTAGTTCAGTTCTAGTTCAGTTCTAGTTCAGTTCTAGTTCAGTTCTAGTTCAGTTCTAGTTCAGTTCTAGTTCAGATCTAGTTCAGTTCTAGTTATAGTTCTGGTTCCGTTATAGTTCTAGTTCAGATCTAGTTCAGTTCTAGTTCAGTTCTAGTTCAGTTCTAGTTCAGTTCTAGTTCAGTTCTAGTTCAGTTCTAGTTCAGTTCTAGTTCAGTTCTAGTTCAGTTCTAGTTCAGTTCTAGTTCAGTTCTACTTCAGTTCTAGTTCAGTTCTAGTTATATTTCTGGTTCAGTTCTAGCTCTGTTTCAGTTCAGTTCTCCGAATCCTACAGATCAGATTTTCTCCATATCATCTGGAATTTGAGATATCGTGTCCTGATGTTTGAAAAAATGGCATTTTTGACCATCATAAGGGAAAAGAACTTTCAACATGATGGAAAAAGTTGTTGAATCTCTTAATCAATAATCTTGAATATTCTATATAATCTGGGTTTTTATAGAATGTCGAAAGTTGATCATCAAAATGACCCTCACAGTCTTGATAAATAACTTGAATGATTTGGTTGCATTGATGGTATCTGCAACTTCGGAAGAAGAGTATTTCCTTGATAAGTCCAAAATAAAAATGTTGCAAAGTATTCTTTTTTTTCGCAACTGGGTAACGAACAGGATAAGGATCAATGTGTCAACGTAATCTGCTACGTTGTCTAGAGTTTGGAACTTTAAGGTTGAAAGGATTGGCTGAGTTAATGGCGAACTACTAGTCATTCTTTATACAGTTGAAAGGACTTCCGATTCGAGTTGTAGTTTTTTACATTTTAACTACTCCTGATTTTGCAACGAACTTTTTCTAACACACTATAGTTACCATAACCGAAGTGTTAAATCTGTTGATAACATTATTGAAGTCCACACAGAAGTATTTAACATAGGTTTAGAAGGGATATACACCATAAAAACGGTGCATATCCACTCGGAGACCATAAGGACCATTATGATTCCCTTCAAAGAGTGGAGATTAAAAAACAGAGAAACAAAAACACAAGTCAGAATAAAGAATAAAGAGATGAGAGAGAAAATCTTTGTGCCCCTATAAAGCCCAGTCGAAGAAGTGACTAGCTCCCTTGATAAAAACTACGGGGGTCAAGACCCGCAAGGAACCTATTCCCTAGCCATTTCAGCCTGAGATTTTGTATCCAAGGACAGTAACAAATTATATGCTCGATTAACTCTATTTCCTCCTCATCCTCGCATAACCTATAATAGTCCGGTATACTGTTGTCCCACTTACTGACTAAGGCCCTAACTTAGCAATGCCCCGTTAGCATCCCTATCAGAATTCTTAGACTGTGTCTGTCCAGTCCTATAAGTATTTTGGTAGCCCCTATATCAATTTTTGTCCATAGAGTATTTGATACTCTGCGATACAATCCTTTCTCTGTCATCTATATCAAGGTATATAACATACTTACCGAAAATATTGAATTAAATTACTGCTATTAAAAATGTTGCGAGAAAGCTGAGTAAAATTCCCAAGTGCCAACTACTTAAATAGACTGAACATAAAAACAACAATAATTTAACTTACCATAGACCCATGCAATGCCAATAATTTGAAACAACGCTAAACCGAATATAACAAATGTAGCACCATAATAATCAACTAAACTGAGGATCCATTGACCGGCCTTGAATTAATTAAATTAAATGTTTTTTTATATAAATATTTAACAATTTCTGGAATTTTTTGTAGCATCAATAATGCGCTACATTTGAAACCATGTGAGTCATTTGAATGAGTAGCATAAAAACAATTAATTGTCAACAAACAGTTT